GGGGCCCCCCCAGCAGCATCTAGTACTGAAATGGTGCTGTTAGGAGCTGAATGGTGTTGTGTTAATTGTCAAAATGTGTCGAGCTGGATAAAATCGAAGTTATAGATTAAACACACTGGCTCGTAAGAAAACTAACTATAGTCCAATGTGCGTTAATAGTCAGCCTATATTACCATATATTTCAAAATCCTAAAATCGAAAATATTTTTAATTGCCAATCGCCTTTTCGTAGTTCTACTGTATTGTTACTTCATATTCTTCCTATAGAGAATTTCAGTGCCTCACAAGAGAAAAAGTGGAGAAGTGAGTAAACTTCTTTTGACGAAGAAATAAATGGAAAAGCCAGGCTAGCTTCATTTTTGACAAAACTTGCAAACAGAAGTTTTCACAATATAAATATCAGAATTTTAAATGAAATGCTGTCGATAACCTTTGATCGATACCAATCAAGGAATATCGTTTATATTTTTCTATAAAAGTAAAAAGTAAAAGTAAAATTTTGAAACGTGATTGTTTTTAATAACACGGATTATCAAAGTATTACAGCCAATAAAGACGCGAATTCATGGTAATTAGTTCTGTCACTTAACAATATTCAGAACATCGAATTTTTCTTCCAAATTAGCATTTTGATATTTGATCACAATACACAAGTTGATTGAAGATTCTTAGCTTTGTTCAATGCAAGATCACTCAAATTTGTATATGCAGTCATGTCGGCTAGCTACACGAGGAATCAATGATAAAACTTAAATATGAGAAATCGTTTCTTGCAAGATGAGGTATTTTAAATTTCGCTAAAAATCAAAATGACATCATCGGGTGCCTGGAGTCGAATAGTCTATGGGAAGTGCGTATTTCATTGAGAATTAATCGAAGTATTTCAAAATTAAGATAACTCTACATCTCCTCCAAGAAAAACATAACTCTGCATTTACTCGTATTTCATAATTTTCATTCTTATAATTTATTCAAATGAGCTGATTTTTTTATCACAGAGTGAGAACCGAGAGTTAAAAAAAATGATGTGAATTTCAAGTAAAACGGTTGACTCCTTCCCTAGTTATACGATAGCAAATATAAAAAAATCCACTTTTTGCACTTCCGAGCTCATTTTCTCCTTGAAGAAAAGATTAAAGATCCAATATCTTTTTATAGAAAAATGCGGCTGGAAGTTCTTTATTCGCCACGCTTATGTGGAAAAATTGAACTTTCGACGCTGCGAGAAAATCAACTTTTTAGATCACTCTACACTCTAAAACAGAGGACTTCTTCAGAAAACTGAAAGTGTGTTTTTCATTTGTCTCAACACTGTTGGCTTTTCTGTATACAGAAAAACCAAAAGTGTTTTGCCTGTAAGCATGACAAAACATGAAAAGAGTAATAAGAATAAATCAACGACCAAGAAAAAAACTATTACATGCGAAAATTAACGTTCGAACGCTCGATCACCATTTTTAGGCGAAAAGTGAGTCTGGCTTTATATTACGAGGATTAGTCTTCTGGATGTTTTTTTAAGAATATAGCCCGACAAAATCATGTTTAGACCACACAATTCAAAACTCACTTCCAGTTCTCAGTGTATTAACTGCATTCTGTCAAGGTACAGTCGATGTTTTAGACAGAACGTTCATTTGCGACGTGAAATATGGACGAGAATATTAATAATTTTACGTTCTGTATTTCAAAAAATCAACTTTCCTCACAGTATTTAATCTTTAAAGTCCGTATGTATCAAAGTTAAAATAATATAAACAGATAAAACGATGAGTCGATGTTGATTATCGGATTTATGTGGTGTTTGTAAAGTACTACACATCTTTATTACAACCAGAGTTCATGCTTTCATTTTACCAGACTCAGTCATGTGCATTTCAATATTCTCTAAATTCGAACATAGTAAATATGTGTTTCAAACATCTTTTCTAGTATTTTATGTTGAATATTTTTCAATAAAAAATGATTATTAATAATTCTATACGCATTGATATTAATTAATACTATTCTAGGCTTGAAACTTATAAAAGGATATTACGCATAACAAAAGTGTCTGAATTTGATGTATAAGTATTTGAATTAGGAATTGAAATTTTCACATAAGTTTCATTGGAAAGTTGTCGAAAAATAGATGTATACCGTAATATTGAAAAGATACGTTACAATTGTAAATTGTTACCAAAAACGATCAGTATAATAGAAAGAACAATGAAACATTCACTGAATTTATTTTATAAAAAGATTTCGTGATAAGAAAAAGAATGAAAAATCAAAATAGCATTCAGCTTCAATAAACAGTATTTTGAGAATATTTAATAGATTTCGAATGTAGTTAAGTCAAGGGAAGAAAATGCATGGAATACATCAAATACAGCAGTTATAACAACAAATTATAATTGATGAGAGGTCAGGTATACAAAGAAAAAAAATTTAAATTAGGCGTCAGTTTATTGCAAATCTAAGTTTATATGATCGAGTTCGTCTTCGTACAAAATTAATTTGGTTTTTCGATAGTTTAGGTTTTTAGAATACTGTAAGAGACTTTGTTTATTTGTATTCTAAAAGAATAAAACTTAACCCTTGGCAGCTATCGTGGGATCCAAGTGGACCCATCTACAGTTTTTTTGTTTCCCACTGCGTCGGTACTTATCGTCTCGGGCTACTCTTTTCCCCAATCATCAGTCTGCTGTTCATGCACAAGGGCCTCATCAAATTTTATGAACAAGTCTCGACGACAAAATTTTGCAGTTTGGGTCTACATGAATCCCAGGACAGCCATGGTGTTATAGTCACGATTTCAGCTCTGTTCGATTTGCCCTCTATCGTCCCAATAATTCCCACACACATTCATCTGATCAGCTATCATCTTCGTCGGATATCACGAAAGATCACAATACTAACAGTAGTTTCAATCAAGCAAAGAAAAGATGTTATGTTTACCCGGCCAAATCTGGACGTAAGGTTCGACAAACGTATGACAATTGTAGACAGCATGTGTGTCTTTCTCATTCTAACAGTGCACATTCACCGGCATGTACTAAAGTGGTTGGATGCGTAATTTTTTTAGTCATATTTCAGTCGGGCGATGTTAAAACGCTTTTCAGAAGAACTGTCTTCTAAATTCCATGTAGGCATATTGCTAATATACATACCGATATATTCACGTGTAGAAAGAGCGAGATTAGGGCCTTCGATTCATGCATGAAAAATTTCGATCAAACAAAAAGATGGAAGTTCTGTGGTATCCGCTCAGAGTGAGTTCGACTGGACCCCATGAAAGCTATAAAGTCACAAAGTAAAGACAACTACGAAGGATCAAATCAAATCAAGAACTCAATGTGTTTATAATCTGAATATTTTCGGATAGTTGAAATTAAGAAATGAAGTTTTAGTGACTATTGATGGTGCTGTTCAATTGTCAAAGCATATCGTTACCATTAAAACTTCTGGAGTTGACACAATCAGTTGTACGCAAAAAGTTTCTGTTTTACATTTTTAAAATCTCATATATTTCAATGGAATATCTGAGTAAGTACTGTAATTTTCTAATAAGATTAGTCTAAACTAAATGACAGGTTTTTATGATTTGATAGTA